TTTTTTTTTACTTCTATTTGTAAATAATTCGGTATGTATATTTGGAAATTAAACACACGTATAAACCTTTTTTGCATTTCTAAATTGTTACCCCCTCCAAATCAATATATAATGTATTAGCAACTAATTTACAGTTTCTAAAAAGTATTAGTTAGAACTTTAATTTCTTAAATTTTTTTATATTTTTTTAACATTATCCTTGTTAAATATTTTATATAAAATTTTTGATAATAGTAATTAAAATTTTAATACATTATTTTTAAAAAAATAATAAATGAAGTAAGGATATAATTAAAAAATAATTATAAAAATTATTAAATATTTTATATTTTAAATCAAACAGAGTTTTTAAAAAATAAATTATATTTGAGTATGGTGGAGCACTCATAAAGTTGCCCAACATTTTAGCTTTGAACTTCGTATTGGGCCGACCAAGACTAGACAGCAGATTCCTTGCAAATTGTTCTTCTCCATCATTGGGCTTTCATGTGTTGGTCCCTCAATGATAACTTACAAAATCAGTTAATAATTAGCCACTTAGATCCTTAAAATATTAAAATAATTCTATGGTTAATTTCCTGACGACAGGATCAAATCGATGATTGGTTGAGGCGGAAAAAACAAAGAAAAGGAAAAATAAAAAGAAAAGGCGAAACATGATTAGATGGAAGGGTTAAATCGATGTGGTATGATTAATTATTACTGGCCCTGCTTTAATTTCTCTTATTGACAGTAATCATGTCCGTCCAGTAAAAGAATGATTTCCATTTCCAAGTCGCTAGTCGCGTCTCTTCAATTATTTAACCTGGTCAAAGTTGAAAATCATAATTTGAACCATGACAATTGGCGTGAAATAAGCATATTTTGGATTAATTTTATTTCAAATTTACAAGGAAATTAACAACTGAGTTTTATACTCCTACATTTTATCCATAGGTGACCAAGGTCAGAACTCACTAAACCATTCGCTTTTTATTGCAAATTTTGATTTGAAAAATCTGAGAATAAATCAAATATAATTGGGCGTTGACAGAAAACAGAGATTGTAGTGGTTTTACTATTTGAAACTGTTCCAGGTTTGTGCTTATACATTTTTATTAGTGCTGTTACTATCATATTTGGATCATCCATATGGTTAGATCATCACATATTTTTCCTTGCAACCGATAAAGTCAAGATCTGCAGACAGACCCTAATTATAGAGGGGGAAAATTTGGCTATCTGAGCATAATTGATAATTGATGTGACCCAAGTAGCTGAAAGATTAATTTAATTAAAGCAATTACGGATTTTGATAGTTGTACTTATCATTTTATTAATACGACATGTTGCGAAAATTATTCATAAGGATTAAATCCCAATATTTAATACTCAAACTACAAAATTTACAAATGTGTGCTCAAGCATTTGAAACACTTGAAATCCTTGAGAATAAATAGTTTTTGAATTTATATTTTTTTTTCAGCTTATCTTTTTTGGATATATAAAATGTAACTTTTCCCCAAAACTTTCTTTCTTGTTTTCATTGAGCTCCATACTATTGATTAATAGTTATTGTGTGGGTCAATATGTTATTTCGTAAAAAATTAAGATGACAGACAAGTTCCAAAAAATTAAACAATATTTATCATATTTTATGATATTTAATTGTTATTTGTATACTTTAAAAATGTTTTTTATCATGTTCTCTAATTATTACATAATTATCGATAACGTGCCGTTTCATTAACCGCATCAAAGTATTTCCTTGCTATTTTATATTCACATCAGAAACCCCCTGAAAGCGCCCAAAAATTCATTTATCTCTAATGACAAACATATATAGGCGTGTGTGTGCATGCACAGAGGAAATTTTCCGTCATAAAATAATTTGCTTGAAAAAGAAAAATTGAAAATAATGGCTTTGCGTTGAGAGAAGTAAGTTGATAGGGTACGAAGGACAAGTATGTAAACGGGATGTGGCAGCTGGACATTTCTAATTTAGACAACTTTATCCAATTATTAATTATTATGTTGTGAGAGCAGTTTCGTGTTTTCTCATGCTTCTTTTTCTCACAGTCAATCTGAAGTTGACACTTCTCCAAACATTTCCCTCAATTTTCAATCTTCCCTGGTACTTTTAATTATTTCTCACATATTGTTTCTTCATCATGTACTTACGTGCTAGTCACATGTTAATGTGTTCTCTAAAGGGGAATTACATTCAAGGACTATTAAAAAAAATTATTTATAAATAATAATTAATAATAAATTTCATTTAAAAAAATACAAGTCATATCTTATTTTATATTGATCATTATTTGTAAATAACTTTTTTAAATTGTCTTTAAATGTAATTCTCCTTAAATTTAATGAATGATGACCAACCGTGTAACTCACATCAAAGCTATATTAATTGATCAATCTCTTACATTTTTTGCATTGATCGATCCTATTTGAAGATAATATAATATTATTAACTGTAAAATATATATGATTGTTGAACAGATTCTTTTCCTTTTTATTCTTTTCCTTTTTACTCTTCTATGAATGTATTGTATATGGGATTCCATGCACGAAGGTGTGTTGAAGGAAAATGCTTAAATAAAATTTTGTACGAAAGAAAGTATAAATGCCTAAGTAAAACAAGTGAAAGTAGAGCAAAGCATATATCTTGATTGGAATAAGTGAGGCTTGCAAGGCAGACAATTATTATGAAGTATGCCAATGCATCTTACGAAGAAAAAAATCAGAACTAATCTAGCATCAAGCTATTTTCTTGTTTCAGAGATATTTGGTATCTTGAGTCTGCCTTATTAGATTTAATATATTAAGTATGTTTAAGGATAGTATACTCTATCAAAATAATTTAAACTATTTGATTAGATACTTTCTAAACTTTATATATCATGATCAATTTTTTAATCTTTTAAATACGGGACTTCTTTTTACACTATAATATTCTTTCTATTACTTTTTTTTCTCTCTATTTTTTTTTCAATTTTTTTCTTCTTCTTGCCTAGACTTGTACTTTTTTCAATCTCATATGTCTCAGGTTTATTCAATTTCTTTTCCTTTTTTTTTTCTTCTTCTCTCTTCTTTTCTTTCTTTTTTTTAACTTCTTGTATTTTTTTTCCTCTTTTATTTCTTTCATTTTTTTTCTTTTTCTTTCTTTCTTTCTTCTTTTTTTGTCCCACAAGAAAATGGCTTATGATACCATATTAGATTTATTATATTAAGTATGCTTAAGGATAATATAATCTATCAAAACAGCTTAAATCATTTGATTAATACTTTTTAAATTTTATATATCATAATCAATTTTTTAATCTTTTTGATGTGAGACTTCTTTTTACACTCTAAAATGCCTTACATCAAGTTATATCTTTTATATTATATTTTATATTAATTAATTTTAATGGCAATTAGTTGTCATGGAAACAAAAACGTACGTGTCAAGTTCCTATACTTCAGAGTAATGACGCAAGGAAGGGTGCATTGTTATAATTAGAGTCGTGCTTAAAACTGTAAAATGAATTCTTATACGTTTTTGAAATGATTCCACTCAAATTCTAACACCTTGTGATAGTTAAAATGTGTGCGCGTACACTGCAACGATTAGGTGTAACGATTGTGTAAAATTAGTATTCCTTCGTACCTGTTTTATAAATTATTTCTATCAATCTTATCACTATCAATATACAAAATAACAGAAATAAAAGTATGTAAAATTTTAAATATAATTTTATAAAAATATTAAAAAGTGATAGCATGTTATTTGTTCTTTATTTAAAGATAATTTTAAAAATACTTTTAAAATATAGCTTGAAAAATTGTATCATAATTTATAAATAAGATAAAATAGAGTTTTCTAAATGCGTTTTATAAATGAGATCGGAGAGAGTATAAGAGAGAATTGTAGAAGCCAAAAACCAATTATACTATTTATAATTTATGAATGATATTTTTTTATGAATTTTAATAGATAGAATTTCCCTTATGAAATGAGTTTCAAACTGAAGATTGGGGGGGGAGTATGGGAATTGAAATGCAACTTACTGTAAACCAAACTTCATATTAAACTGTCAAAATAGTAAATAGTCAATGGTTTTATGTAGTTGAATTGGGGCCAGCTAGATTAAAATAATATAATTTAATTAAAATATAAAAAATTCATATACAACTTCTACAAGAGCATTAATTCACTAGTAAATGAAAAAAATAATGTATAAACCACATACAATTTAACAAAACAGAGCTACTAAAGTGTAAATCCAACAAGCTGCTAATTTTTTAAAATTTAAAACAATTTCGTTTTAGGCTTAACAAAAGCCAAAAAAATAAATAAATAAAACTTAACCTGTTTCACTTTTGCCCAAAACTCTTCACCAGACTGGTTCATTAATCTGACCCACCAATATGGATTGGGGCAACTGGTTTGGATTTATTTATAAAATAAAAAAATAATATTTATTTTAAATTTATTTATAAGACATCTCAATAAATATTATATATAATTTATCTTTTTATTTCTATTAAATATTAAAAATATTACTAAAAATTAAATTATTTTATTTTTAAAATATATATATTTAATGAGAATGAAGTTAAAAACTTATTAAATTTATTAATAAATTATTAAAATTTAATTTTTTTAATTTTGATAAAAATGCTAAAAAAAATAACTTGTAATTATAGAATCAAAGAGAATGATTATTTAAAAGCGTTGTTGGGAAGTGAGCTTCCTAGCCTGTGGCTCGCCAGTAGCACCATGGCACTCAAACGCAGTAAGAATTGTCGTTTTATCATCATTCTGGGACCCCCCAGCGACATGCATTAAAGTTTAAAGCCTGACAATTCCATACCCTTCATTCCCCTTATTCTATCCTAACGCTTTATAGAGCACCATCATTATTATTATTATTATTATTGTTTTTGTTGTTAGCCAGCCAAATAATAAGCTATCCCCTCAAATTATTCAATAAACCAAGCTTCTTTTTATCATGCTCTACAACAATCCAGGGACAAGGAAATTGATTCATCCAGCATAAGGTTCATATTTAATTTTTACCTCCTGAAATTACATCATCAACTTAATGAGCATCAAAGAAGTCAAGCTCGTTTCTTCATGTGTATAGCGCTCAGAGAAACCCAGAAAATTGAAGACTACAATAAATAAATAAAAAAGAAAAAATAAAAGAAACTTTGCTTCAACAGTTTCATCTCGCCGCATCAGAAACAGATTTACACGTACCCTCCACGTATACATCGATCCCTAATCTGGCAATCCCACGACCCACAGATTCACAGAAAACAGATGTCAAAGTTCTAGCTTCTTTTTTAACTTTTCTCATACGTATCCATCTCTCAAAGTCTTCAAATCTCATCCCATTCTGATTTAAAAACAAAAAACAAAAAACAAAAGCAAAAACACTGAACCAGATTTCGATTTCAGCTCAATTGAATTTACGGCCCCCGAATTGATTAATTATCACTAGACATTTAAGGAAGAGAATTGGATGTATATGATATGTCTATCTCTGATTCTGCACCACCCAATCACTCAACATGCAAGCTCGTTCATACCCGCGCCAAACTGACTGAATATAAAGGTCAGGGGAAAAAAATATCTCTGTGTCACGAGCTTCTTCGAGGAAGCTTAAAAGAGAAAGAAAATCAGAGACAGGAAGAAGATCTAATGGCTCTGGTCATGTGAGGTTTCTGGGGTAGTTCCCCTGTTCTCGCTCTGTACCTGATCGTGGCCGCTGATTTCCTCTGGTTTCACAGTGGTCTCTCCCGTATGGAGTTCAGATTTAGCGTTCTTGTCGCAGGAACAGCAAGTGGTGGTGTTGTCCCCGAAGGAAGATGACCGGCTCGACCACATCGGAGTGGCTAAGAATGTCGGCTTCTCCTGTCCGGCCATGATCACCAGGATTTTCTCCTCGTAAGGAATCGGAGTTTTTTGGGTTTGGTCGTCGAGTTTGGAGTCGCCGGCCTCGAGGTTTCGCTCGCCGTCACCGTCGCCTTCGAGGTAGCCGGAGAGCTTCCAGTAAGAGCAGGCGAGGATTAAGAGGGCAAAAGCGATGAGGCCCAGCATGGCCGCTAAGCCGCCGAACAAGTACGGGACCGGAGAATGCCACGGCGAGTGGAGTGGCTGCGCTTGCGACGCGGGGGGTTTGGCTGAGTCGTCTACGGGGTCGCTGTAAGCCGCTGCCGCCATTAATTCCGTTCGAGAGAGAGAAGAAGAGCAAGAATTAATTAAGAACTAAGGAAATGGCGATACAAAAGAAAGAATTGGATTGGGAAGTGAACGAGGGGTTGGAAAAGGTATATATAGAGACCAGAAAGAGTGGATCGAGACAGGCTTGGCTCGTACAAGGACACATTCAATATCTCTAATAAATAATTGGCCGTATTTTATAGGCGGATTTTAATTGTGTGTGTGTGTGTGTGTGTGTGTGAATGTATTTTTTTTGCAATAGTAAATAAAATAATGGTATATATACTTTGTATGTAAATATAAATCTGCATCAAGCTGTGTAATCTTGAATTATTTTTATCACTTATTTTTTGGCCAGCAATTATTTTTATCTTCTCTTTTTTGAAATAACTGCATAATTTTGGATCGTGAGATATATATTTTTAACCATTTGATTTTGATTTTGATTTTATTTTCTTTTTTATACGCATTTTCAATTATATACAATTAATTTTCTGGGTTATAATTTGTATACAATTTAGCTCACTCCACTTGGTCGGGTCAAGCTTGTTGTTGTTGTATAATTTGTATATAATTTAATCTAATTGAAGTGGATTTGATGAATACAGCATCACTTGTTTTATGTGTATATTTGAGAACTAAAACCTTGGAAGGTAATTCAAAGTATGTGTTTTATTCAGGGAGATTTGCAAGTCAGAAAATATAAATTTTTTAAATAAATTGGATATAATATAGTCCCTTCATTTAAAAATATAAGACATTTTTTTAAAAATTGAATGTTAAAAAATGTAAAATATTTTTAATCTTTGAAGGTGTAATCATTACCTTTTTTTTAGTGTTCATAAATAACTTTATATTTATTGTAAAGTATTTTATAGAGGTAAATATAAAAAGATAAAATTAATTAAAAAATAAATAATTACTTTATTGAGAGTGAAATTCGATATATTTTTTAATGGATAGAGTAATAGACAAAAAATTAATTTAATAAATGAAAAAGGTCTAAGTATTTTTAACAAAAAAATGAAAAAGAGAATCATATTTATTTTTATGTAATAATATTTAAACACATCTTCTTGCTTCTCACCTCCCATCCAAAGTTGGGAGAAATTACAATAACGACAAAACTTTTTCAATGAGTATCTAATGCAATGATATTTTAAGATTAACTTAAGACTCCTAATTAAATATGAGGTTGGCAGATATAAAGATTTAATTTAGCCATACAATGCAAAGAGTGATATCTATTGTATCTTTTTAATTGTTGAATTTAAATTCCCAATTATTTTGGATGAGAAGGAAATGGGGCCCGGGAGGAATTGGAAGAGTGGGTTAGGCAAACAAAAGAGCCTTATTTTTCCGAAAGGCAAAAGGCAGCGTTGCGTTGTTGCGTGAGTTGTGGGACTAATAACGTGTTTGGATGCTCAAGTAAAGGATTCATCAATGCAGTAAAGTGAAGCGCACTCAGGGGCAAATTAGTCACATCAAATCTCTCCCTCGGCCGCAGGGCAAGAAAGAAAATGGGGCAATTATTATAAAGCCTCATGGAATAAAGGAAAATGCAGCAGATTCCTAAGAAAATGCCAAAATATCTCTAGACTCCCAAATTTCTTGTATTTAAATAAATTTTCATGCTCAGCCACCAAAATAACAACTTTGTGTATGAAAATTCATTTACATGGGATTTGGAATATGGAACTTCAAGGATATTTTAATCTTTAGTGGGATTTATTGTGTTTTCATTCCTTTAGTGGGATTTTATAGTAAATCACAAAAAATAATAATAATGATAATAAGAGGGGAAATTACATGTAAGTCTTAAATAAAAAATTAATTTTTATTATCAAATTCCTATAGACTAATTTGTTATTACTTTCACTCGTGAGATGTCACGCGTGTCCCTTGTTTTTGAATAACTGATCATGACTATTGTCAACTATTAAACATTCAAGGAAAATAAAAATTTAAAAAATATTTTTATTAAAATGTTAATATTTCAATATTTTCAAGTGAAGTATGATATATTTATTTATAAGTTTAAGAAGTTTACTTGTAAATTTATAAAATTTAACTTGGACTAAATATTAAAATATTAGATATTATAAGAAGTTGACTTGTAAATGCAACTATGTAAGAAACTTGAAAATTTTAAAAATTTACAAATTATCTGACAAATTAGTACGACTACTGGTCAATACTGGTCCAAAAAATAAGTCCAAAAACATTTGTATTGTTCCACGTGAAAAATTAATTATGATCAAATTTGAAAGTGTTTTTATAAATTCATCAATTTTATTTATAAATAAGTCTCTTGATCCTAATTAACTCATTCATGATTTTTTTGCAACAAAATTTCACTTGGGCTTGTTTTGGATTTATAATCCCTTTGGAGACATTTATCTATAAATGTAGGCCTTAGCCATCTACTTCCTACCGTGCAACTATGGTACAACCCCGCAACCTTCCAATCATGTCACTACCACCTTTTGTTTTAGCTTCACTTCATATGTTTTTATAATACAATAATAAAATAAGCTTGGGTTTTTTTTAATGTAGCAATCGTTTTCCTTATTTAATAATATTTGATTTATATGAAATATTAATAAAATAAGCTTAATTTTTACAAAATTTGGAATGAATTATATTTTTCTTGTTTTAAAATTAAACTAAACTTCATTTTTGTCTAGAAAGTAGTTTTAGAGAAGTTATAAATATTTTTTAAAAATTAGGAAACAATGAAGTGTATAATTTTTAAAATTGGTGTAATATTTGTCATTTTTTACAGTCAATATTAAGTCAACGCTGGGTTAAAAAATTCTTCCCACACTAACAGACTTAACACTAATAATTAAAAAGAAAATAATATTACAAGGATTTTGAAATATATCATGCTACATTGTTTCATAATTTTAGACACTAATAATTATAGAGATACTTTTAAGATAAAAAAAAATCTACTTAAATCCTTTTAAATAAGTTGTATGATTTCCGACCCCTTTCTCTATATATTTCATTTGTCTAGAGACATTTCTCTTCGTGTCGTTCTCGCGAGAGACATAAAGAGGGTCATACCATTCATAAACCATCTCCGATCATAATATAAGGGCCGGTTGATGAAATTTGTTTTTGTATTAAATATAAGATTTTAATTAAAATCCTTTTAAACTATCTCAATTGATTGCACATGGTAAAAAGGGATTTCCATCCATACAAGAATTTTTCATGACGTGCATGATTAAATAGAGTATTCCGGTGAAACTATGACACATTTTTTGTAAACAAAGAACTAACATAATTAATTTTTTAATACCAATAAATTAGTTTTCTGACTTCTATCTTTTGAATTGAAGGAAGCAAAGGTGAAAAGAGGGGGGATTGATAGGAGCCATGGCCCCACCTAACCTTTTTTTTTTAATAAAATGTAAGTGTTATATATTTTTGGCTCTTTTAAGTTAGCACATTATAAAAATTATAAAATACTAGATAAAATTCTCATTTTAATTTTATATGTAGTCTTTTACATATGTATAAAATAATTATTGTACTAGCTTAAAAATATGGTTGTCACAGGATCTATCCATTTTTGACAAGATAATGCTATACATACTCTTAAAGTATTGATATTATTTTATAATTATTATTAACAAACTTTGTTAAGTATTACAATAAAAATTTTAAGATATATTGAATGATATGTGTTTGATATCTATTATAAAATTACTTATTCAAAAGTTAAGAGGTTTAGTGAAGATGTTTAAAAAAATTACTTTTTTTAAAATAATAAAGTTATTAAAATTTATGATATGAATGGTTTTTATGCTAATATAATTTAATCTTATTGATATAAAAATTTTATTATAGTTGTGCATTATTAATGTTTTGATATATTTGTTTACCATAATTATCAATAATTAAAAATTAAATAATAAATTTAATAAGCAAGTAATATAGCTTATTACATTGAACAGGACTTTAAATTTTAATAATGTATTTAAATCATTTAATGCTCATGCGGGATGATAAAATTTTTATCAATTAATAAAATTCATATTAAGAAGGAAATCGTTATAATATTTATTATAGATATAATGACTAATGATTTTACACCATAAAAAATTGATGAACAAAACTTAATATATATATATATATATATATAATTGCATGTGCAAAATTAAATATAAACTATATATGTTAAAATATTTATATTATGTCAGTAGTATATATATTTAAATTTTTTTAATTATTATAAATACTTGTGATCTCGACTTCTTTTAATAAAAATTTATAACCCCGCACTTGGAAGAAAGTATTATGAATAATATATTTTCATTTCAATACATTATTTTTAGTAAGGTAATTAAATTAAATTAAAAGAATATAAAATATTTTAAAATTGAATCAAAACTCAGCCGACTGGCGCTGACACTGTATCAAGCAGCCTTTGGTGGTCGGGAATGGTCAAGTTTGCCTTAAAAAGCGACAAATTTATATGCAACATAACATCATAATTTGGTAGGTGGTTTCTTTTATGGGCGCTTAAAAGCAAAGCTAATGTAATGAAAATAAAATTAAAGCCATGGTTAAGAGCTTGTTTGGATTAACATTTATTAAACTACAATTTTATATAAATTATAGTTTGCAAATTGAAGTTGGGTTAATAACAGTCAATTATTGTAATGTAGTTTATGTTTGAATACGCTCGAAAAGTTAATTTAACAAGCTGAAACTTAATTATTTGAATGATGTAGTTATAAAAAACAGATTTAAATGTATAATAACTGAAAAAGATATGAGCTGATAAAAAAAACCCAAAAGAGACATAAGTTATATGCCTCTCTCGTACACATATAAGTATGCACAGTTTGATATTTTGTAATTAAACTGTGAGAAACCAAACATAAATAAAATATTTTATTAATCCTTACTAATTCATGAGGTATATTGACTTGGATTTTCAAACGATTAGTAAAACAAAAACAAAATTTTCTCATCAAATTTCGGCCCTCCTTTTCTCTTCATCTCCGCTCCTATCTCTTTTAATTTGCCTCGGCATTCACATAGTCGTAAAAATAAGAGAAATATATGTATGCATGTGTGCGTATTTTTGGCTAAGAGAGAGAAATATGTTGTTATTATTAGGGGGGATGAATCTTACGT